TTAGGGTTCCGGGTTTAGGATTAAGGGTTTAGGGTTTAGGGTTCAGGGTTTAGGATTAAGGGTTTAGGGTTTAGGGCTCAGGGTTTAGGATTTAGGGTTCAGGGTTTGGGGTTTAAGGTTTAGGGCTTATAGTCCCCCTTAAGTAGATAGAAAATGGGGTATATGGGGATCTTATTATAGTAAAATACCCAAAGCCATATTCTATCTACTTAAGGGGGACTATAGTTACTGGGGGTTAGTAGGGAATAAAGGAATGTTGCATAGCGATTATATGAGGATTTTATAGGAAGTCTATAAGGATTATAACCCCTTATTCCGTACTAGCCACTAGTCAGCTTAGGGTCTTGGCGTCTCAGCCGCTCTAATTCGGTAGTTTCCATGGATAGGGAGACCCAATATGGACCCAAATTTGTTCTAATCCTTATAATAAGGACCCCAAAAAGAAACCCCAAATGTGCTTTAGGAAGCCTGAATCCTGTATACCCCAACAGAATGAGAGTTTGCAATGCATTTTCCATTTCCTTTTCCGTTTGATTCTGCATTATTTGGCTGAGTTCATAAAACCCTAAAACCTTAACCCTGAACCCTAAGCCCTTAACCCTAATCCCTGAACCCTACATTTCTAAATTTTGCCTCCGCAAAGCGAAGAGGTTGGGGGCTTCCGGGTTTGGGAGTGCGAAGCTTGGGGATTGCTCCAGTCCTCCTGGCGGAGCCCTCCTTTCCAAAAGGTTAATATGAGCTATAGTGAAAACTCCTCAAGGGAGGTTATATAGCGGAGTAATATAGGGCGTATTGCAGGGGATATAGAGAATATGTGAGGCTACAAAGGGTTGGCATTGAGGGTTTACGGACCCTAAGAAAGGGGAATATATGGAACATATAATATAAGGTTGATACAAAGGGTGGGATTTAGGGTTTAGGGACCCTACGCTCCAAACCCTAAAGCCTAAAAAGGGTTTAGGGTTTACAGTCCCTGTTGAGTAGATAGAATATGGCTTTATATTGTAATAAGATCCCCACATACCTCATATTCTATCTACTTAAGGGGGACCATAGGTTAGTCCTTCTGCATCAGGTAATAGTTGAGCTTGTTTGTCAACATGGCACTGAGAACTTGCGCCAGCTTCGGACGGTCTTCGTCCACACTGAACTGGCCCTCACCCACAGGAATTCGCAGCCAGTCCCAATGGGGTCCTCAGGGTTGGTACGGTAACTGCATGTGAGTAGTGTTTTTTGGTGGTTTGACCTAGTAAGATAATATTCCTTATATAAAATACTATACCCCAAAAGGAGGATATAATGTCACTCTATATTGGGTACCATAGTATTATTCACGGACGTCAGTCAGTCATCCAAATCAAGCGCTGAGCACTTTGGCTCCTCAAATAGTGAATAGTTTAGAGTACCTATGTATCCCCAAATAAAATACTACTCATTTGAAGTTTAGAGGGCTTGCAAGAGACACCTCGATCTTG